CTCCCCTGGTTAACTAGCACAATAGTTACTGTCTAATCCTAAGCCCGGATAAAGAGGGAAGGTTGGGCATAGGGTTACCAACCCTACGCCGTAAAACCAACCCAATAGCTAAAGAAGCTTCAAAGCACAAAGAAAATATAAAAAGAAGACCGATTGGGGGCATCACGCTCCAGACCAGGCCGTGGAGTGGAAGCCACATGCGGTACGATGAGTTGGGCGTCTGAGGGTGACATGGAGGAGATCATGTGAAGAAGAAATGAAATCTTCTTGGCAGTAGTGGAGGCAGATTGAAAAGACTGGAGAGAAGAGAGTAAAACGGCAACGTGCTACCGAAGCCTTATGTTCCACTAGGAACCAAAGAGACAAATAATAATAAAGTTTAATATCATTCCAAAGTGTTTAGAAAATCAACAACAAGCATTTTTATGTACGTTTCGTTGCCCGTCACAGCTTTTTCAGTAGAATATTAGAATTTTTATTAAATATACACACATGACGAAACGTTTAGGGAAATCTTGGTTTGATTGCTTAAACACACTGGAATTATATTGGTCTTGGTGACTAGCAGAGGAGTTGAGGATGCGCATTTCATCCCATTTCGGACTCATCAGCTGGATGTACCCGCATCGCAGTACGAAGTGATGTTGTTCCGACGAGGCTTGATCCCAGTACCTTTCGTTTCAAATCTCAGACTGTTATCCGCTAAACCACTAAAGTGTAATAGCCAACTCTTGTGTAATAGATATCAGTTGTTGTAATCATACTCGATACTACCAGATATTCATGATATTATATACTGGATTCCTCTGCTAATCACATCATGAATATCCGACAATATCGAGATATTCGTATAGGAATCCATCTGCTAACATAGGTCAAGCAATTCAACCCTATATAAGTATCATTACAATCTATTGATGTAAAACTTATATATTTGTGATCATAAGCATTTCAAGGTCATTCAGTGTAAATAATGTAAAACAGGAAAGAAATTTACATGATTAATCTGTTCTTTATTCTCATATATTATTTATTACCTTTTTCTTTTGAAAAATATGTCTGATAAAAACAATCCTGGCTATACACTAATTTATGTTTCATATAAAATAATTTCTATAGTTCTAAGTTGACTCCTCTTATCATCTATTTAGTTAAATATTTGTTGGTTTGTTTTTTTTTCTAAGATGAATTATCCTTTAAAATGTTGATCAGTATGATTGTGAGTGATGTGAAATCGATGAGATCACTGACTTTATTCCACAGGAAGTTGTAGTGAACATTAAATTCAATGTTATTACTAAACGATTGGTCAAGTGTGATCATCATGATAATAATAATAATAATAATAATAATAATAATAATAATAATAATAATAATAATTACAATCTAATTATATGCTTATGTATAATCCTCTTAATTAACAAAATCCATTCATCCGGAAGACGAAAATATACTATGGGAATTAAATAGCTATTTTATTTAGTAATTTATCATAGACTGTCTACGTTATCATTTATACATAAATTAGTAGAATTCAGTTGTTACATGGAAGTTACATTTAAGTAGTATATAAATGATAATCATTTTTACCATTTCTTCTCAATATGATTAATGATTACTGAAAGTGATCGATCAATCTTCCGAATGAAGATAAACTATACAGTTAATTTTAGCTTAAGGTATGACAGAGACCTATGTGAATTGCTTCAGTCTCATGACTCTTGTCTAATTCATAGCTCTTTTGTAGAGAATGTATCAGGTGTAATCCTTCTTCGTTTTTGCTACGCTTCTGATCCTTCTTGGTCCCTTCATATCTTACTGATTTCCAGGAAAATCCTTCACTTGACCTTCTACATAAGGAAACTCAAGTTGTCTGGCATAATCTGGCCTTTACTCTTGCATTTCATTAGTTTCTGTGTTTTGCCTATACTTACTTACTGTTACCTTTATCATTTCCTAGACTCCGGAAAACAGACGATGCTGTATTGCTTAGAATTTTGAAGACTGTTACTAGAGCTAGTGGAACACTACCAATCGTGCAGATAAATGCGGTAGTCGATAGGCATTTTAACCTTTATAAGCTATCGGCTAAAAATATATTACCTTATGACAAGCTTCCCCTCGATCTGTACCATTCTCTATGTCCATCCTCTGGGAAGACAAGAATCAAGTATATTAAACTCTATGGACACAAAACTATAAATGAAAAGTTGAATCATACTACCTTATTCGGTTTGTGTATCGTTTGAAGAAAATCGTATTAGACATGATCTTATCAACCAACTTTGCAACAGCGAACAGGTGTCATCTCCCTGAGGTCTGTAAACGTTTCAGCAATCCTGTTATTCATTGCTATGTATTGTTGAACAGCACCATTGTTAATATATAACTGTAAACTATTGTACAGCTGGTAAACTCATGCTATATCACATCTTGAGAATTCTATACTGTAAACATAATTATGGCTTGGAATAAAGTAAATATATCATTATTGTTATTATTATTATTATAGTATTTACTATGAACCTAGATTTATCGATTTACTAAACACAAACTGCCCTTTCCTAATATTTACCTCATAAGTTAAGTCAACTTTAAGTTGCCAGTATTCATCTTTACTCGACAATACAGTTTGATTGTATAAAGTCAAATCAATTGAATCTGGATGCTTTCTACAAACCTTGATCACTTGCTTTACACGACTGTTGGTTTTACATAAGTCTTGAATTAAATTAAATATGCAACAAGGAGATATACTTCAATGATTTATGCAAAGAGATTTAGGCATCCGGATAGACTAACTTAAAGTAAGTACAGGCGATTAACTGATAAGATAGTCGATACAGTCGTATGGCACTTTTCAACGTTCTGAAAGCGAATGAATAATCTGTAGAGTTTAAGTTAAATCAATACCAGAGTGATTTAAACCCCAGCAGGCTATTTCGCTCGTTTAGAGTCCAGCTTACCAATAGTGTACCTGTGCAAATTCAGTTTACACAGCCAAACTTTCAGACCATCAGATCAGCTTGACTAGTCTCTAATTATTCACTTTGCTCAGTACTATATTTTATCGAATTCATCACATATACTTTGTGATACTATCTTGGTGATTCTTAACGGAAGCCGTGTTGACACTACAGCACAATACTTTAAAAAAATTCTCCAATGTGAGTAATGTCAATGTAGATAGTTTGAAAGTTCATCACCTTCAGTTCTGACGTGATAATCAGTTTCCAATTCCATTAACCCTACTTCTTTTCTGTATAAGTCAGTTAGAATATAGTTTAGAATCCAAAACACTCATAATAAAGCACAAATAAGAAATAACTATATTCAGTACTGTACAGTTTTAAGATAACTTCGGAAATTGTAGACGTATGAATAACAGATTGTATCGATTTATGTCATCAAATATGTACTGATAATCCTACTTTAGTTTCTACCTAGTAGTTTCAGTAGCTCGGTTTAATCATCCTAGTCTGTAAACATTCCTATTTTAAGGTATTCTAACCAAAAAAAAGCATCAACAAAACAGCTTAAGCAGTCCAAATACAAAAAAAATCTTTGAGGGAGTTGTGGAGATTTGGAAATATTTCAAGATGTTATTCATCGTAAACTGACATGAGTTGGAGGAACAAAAGAAACCTGGGAGTACTGGACAACTGTTTTGTCCGACTAGTATGGGACCCCTCAGCAGTGCTCATCCACGACCCCATCCCCCAGGATCAAACCCGCGACCTTCAGGTTCCGCTGTCAGCGCATCACCATAGAGTTAGCCACTGGGTAGAATCCAGTGGACTGATGGTCGTGAGGACAGTTACTCAATGATGACATTGGGTGGAGATTGCGCCATATCGTGAACTAACAGAAGCTGGAAATACGGACGATTGGATTCTGACTCAGTGGCTAGCTCAATGGTAGGTAACGTGCTGGCCACGGAACCTGAAGGTCTCGAGTACGGTGCCTGGGGGATGGGGGTCGTGGGTGCGCACTGCTGAGGAGTCCCATACTAGGTGGACGAAATAGCTGTCCAGTGCTCCCAGGTTTCCTTTGTTCCTCCAACTGATGTCAGTCTACAATGAATAACAACCACAAAAAAATGTGTTTAAAATACATTATGAGAAACTTACACTACTAACAGAGTGAAAATTCTAAGCAAACTAATTCGAAATTTTTCTTCAAGTGATGAATTTCTTAAGCTTAATAAATGGATATCTGACGTATTTCTGCAGGAAGCAATCACAAGTATTTAATGAAGGAAAAAATGTGTCCAAGAACCATACGTCTATTAAATCCATCAATAAAAAAGACACTTCAGATGGATGACGGTTACGTTATATCATTAACTGATAGAAGTAGGAAATACGGACTGTTAGATGACAACATAATGGCATGATAGTAATGCGCTTGCCGCAGAACCTGAAGGTTCTGAGTTCTATCTTCATATATTCCACAATAAAAATGACCGAAGTTAACTTTCAATTATGAATACATGAAAAGATTATAGATAATCCAAGTCAGATTGTATTCATTTCATCTCAAAGGATAAAACATCCATTACTTAAACTTTTACTTTGAGAAACTTCTTTTAGTCATAAAGCTAGAAGGGTCGACATAGCGGTACACTTTGATAGATGTTAGTTGGTTGTCAGCTATCGGTAGAAAACTGTAATCCATCTAGGTTTCGTGATTATTACCACTTATCAGTGAAGCTTATCTATAATCTCTAGGCTATTGATATATCCCAAGACAGAATTCGATTATCATTTAGGAATATAAAAAAAAATATGAAATTGGTTACCATACATTAACTAATCAATCTAATCTTACAGATAATAAATCATAACAAGGATCAAATAGTTCAATGGTACCATCTCTCATTGGATTATTGACCGATTTGAGTTCTAACCTCACAGGGAATATCAGTTCAGTCAAATATACAAACGATATCTTCTCAAGCAATCGTAATTAATTCATTTAATCTGCTAGAAAATACTTACTATTTCTTTTGCAGATAATTTATAATGATAGGCATCCTCTTTTATTTTCAATAAATTGACTGCTTCAATCTCTTCACCTTTGCATAAATACTTGATGTGCATTAAGATTGTAATTAAACATCCCAAACTCCATATATCAGAATTACTAGTGACTTCAAATCGAATAAATTCAGGAGCACACCACTGAATATGTCTACCTACATAATAATAATAATAATAATAATAATAATAATAATAATAATAATAATAATATGAATAAGTGATTAACAGTTATAATGTAGCTAATAACAGATAGAACATAGAGATCCTTGTAGATGAATATATTTGCTTAATATACATAGTTTGTCATAGATCAGACGAATATATTAATCAGACTGACAGACAAAACTAACGTTGAAACCTTTTACACAAATGCATATATTCAATTTCCTATACTTCATATTAGTATCCAAAGGATAGCTGGATAGAAAAAGAGTAGTATCAAAGTAGATAAAGTTGTGTGAGGGAACAACAACTTTGAAGATAAAGGCTGGTGCCAATATTCAAGCTTTAGGAGATGTCAAGGATTGAATACATATAAGCCAATGTGACAGGTTTTCAGGCATTTCACCAAAAATCAGTCAGTCCTCGAATACCGGTTTCTATCACCTGGGAATCCCAACTAGTCAGTTTACATCTCCACACACAACTCAGAGTATCAGTAGAGAATTTGTTTACCTATACCACGTCTTTGTTTGGTCACCCTGAACCCTATTTCAACCTAATCTGTCTTCGCCTAGCATGGCACTTGAGGTAGGAGGTGTAGTACATATCCAAGTCATCTCAGTCGACTAGGATTCACCGCTTCATCAATCGTCTTGTCTTTCTTGTCCAATACCCTTCACCTGGCCTTAGAATTGCTCATATGGTGATTCCATTAAAAGTGAGCAATACTAAGAAGACACCTGTGGTCAAAACCGTATGACCCTTTCGTATCTTATACTTACAACGTCTATGTCTCACAGCTGTATAAGAGGACAAGTGACGATGACGTTGGCTACAATGACAATGAAAGTTTTACAATTAAACCACTCAGTTCAGAGGAAACAATATAACTAAATTTATCATTCTGAACTAGAAACAATCTACATCAACTTAACACTCTTATCTTTAAATCAATCAATTAAAGAAGTCGTTGAAATGTAATTAGCGCTTAGCTGACTGAGTGTTCTTTTTCATTGACGAGGTATTTTAGTTTTCTATATAATTCCAGCAATAAATTGAATGAAGGTGTTCCAGGTAATGACAATACTGGTCTTAGTGGAATATCTATCCTATGTATTCTAGGTCCACTCTAGAACTTCAGTAGGACTGATCCGTCTGTCTTCATCTGTTATTGTTCTTTTTTTTGTGATTTGGTCGACTTATACTAAACTTCTCAATTTCCTTCGGATCTGGTTATCTAAGTGTTTAATTGGATTATGGTCTAGTGGTTGGTACACACTTTTGTCGTTTAGTAATTCCTGAGCCTTTTTCCTATAGTTTGTTTTGCTAATGACGACAGTTTTCTCTCCTTTATCTGAAGGTAATATTATAATTATCTTTTCAGTTATCAGTTTTCCAGTGGATTTCGTTCTTTTGTGTTTAGAAGATTTTGATTTCTTTTGATTTTCACTGCAGTAACAAGTGACTGACGTAGTTCTTATTATTTCTCAACATTTAGTCCTAAGTTTCCCAATATAGACTTCAAAGAAACCTAGAAATCAAGTTTGTCTGCATTTCCCTTCGGAAGTAAATCATATCCTATCTGATGTGACTGAGTCAGAGTAGGACATGGGTTCTAATAAAAGCGAAAAGAGTAATAACGCAATGAAATACTTGAACTGGATACGAGTAATGCGACTATTCTCCCCTACACCCGATACTTCACTAAGCCGCGAAAATCAGAAGACAAAAGGTGAGCTGACTTAAGGAAGACAACTTTATTTGACAAAAAACATAGTATTTATATACGGCTTCTAGTCTATTTTTCTCCTCTTTCTGGTTTGAAATAAGATCCAGTATCCAATATCTGTTTAAAGAGCTTATGCAAACCAGTTGATTTCTTCATCCTCGCTTCTTGGTTTTACGGAACGGTTCCAGGTCTTTGGTGGTTTCCGATGCAGTAAATTCAGCAACTCGCCTGCAATAGCTCTCGTATACAGAACAGAAGATTGAGTGTTGGTTAGTCTGCCCGGGACCATGGTGCAGTTGGGTTCTTCAGATGTCGAGTTCTCAGACAGTTGTGCGGAGTCGTCGTTAGAGTGAGTTAGGGACAGTGAAGATATAACCTAGGAAGACAAATGTATGTGGGTAAAAGACAAAGAAAACTCAACTGATGGAGTAGTCTACTTAAACCCAAGTAAGACGAGAGGGGTACAAAGATATGAAGAATTTAGGTGAGGCTAATTCATAGCAACTGAAAGGGATGAAAAGGGCTTACATGATTACAGTAGGAAGAAAACTGGTGTAGATGTAACACAGATGGAATTGTGTAACAGCAGTTGATTTCTTTAACAAAGTTCGTATTCCAACTAGATGTACGTAAACGGTGGGTCTCGCGTAACTGTCTAGCCTTTTCATGAAATTGTCAACAGATGGGGCGGAGACTACCTCTGCTAGTAATGCATTCCAGTGCCCGCGCACTCGAGGGAGAAGTATGGATGCACAGAGTTTTTAACCTTTGGTAGGTAACTCTCTTAGGGTTTCCTCGAGGATCATCATAGTGGCCACTTGGTAGTTTTCCTCTGTTCAGTTGATTCGGGTTATTCACCATTTTGTAAGCCATTATCATATCACCTCGTAACCTTTGGTAGCTAAGAGAGTATAGACCTAGGTCTCTTAATCTTCCCTCATATGGTTTCTGGTGCATCCCGATGACCCCTTTTGTAGCTCGCCTCTTAACTTTCTGTAGTAGGTTCGTGCCTCTGTTTTGTTGTGCTTGGGCAAGAAATTGTGGACCTTCAAGTAGGGTCTTATTTAGGTCTTGTAGAGCTTCAAAAATAGCTCTGGGATAAGGTTATACAGTTGTCTAGGCACACCGTATGCTTTAGAGGTATCTGCTGCGTAACTGGAACTGGTGTCCAGTTTCTCTGTCACCCTTAAACCCATGTCTTTTTCTGTTGTGGTATGAGATAGATGTGAACCACAGAGAGAGTAGGATACTTTCTGTCTATCAGGTGTGCGGAAAAACATGAACCGGTATTCATCCAGGTTAAATGTCAATTCCTTATTTGTCGCCTACTCCTAAAGTGTTTGAGATCGTTTTGCAGTGCATCCGATTCCATCTCGCATGTTACTGCCAGCCATAACTCAACGTCATCAGCATAGAGGAGAATCAAGGGGGGCCGAAATGCAGTGGACGGTCATTCAAGAACAATAAGAAAACAACAGATCCCGGATTGCTCGCTGTGAGACATCGGACGATGATGTCCTCCAATTTGAGTAGACCCTATTGACTATGGTGCAGAACTCCCTACTGTCTAAGTAGTTCTGCGGCTACGATAATACAGAACCCAGCTATTTCTAGTATTAGGATAGTGTGCGAGACAGTGTCAAAGGCTTTGGCGAAATCCAGAAAAATCGAGTGAATTGGGACCTTGAGGTCCTAGCATGCTGTCCAGTGGTCATAGGCCGTCAGAAGGTTAGAGACACAGGACCTACCCTTTCAGAAGCCATGTGGAACATCACTGAGTGCTTGCTTTGTGTCCAAGTATTCCCTGATTCAGTTATCTATCATGCTTTCCATAACTTTTGATGTTACTGGTAAAAGTGCAATAGGTCTATAACAGTTCGGATTCTGCCTGTCTCCTCCTTTGATAAAAGAGGATAGAGGACAGCCCATTTCTACTCCCATGGTAGTCTTTCTTCGTCTAAGGACTGTTGGAAGAGATTGCTGAATGGGCCATTTAGGGTACTCCCACATTTTTTTCAACATAGATGGGTGAATGTTGTCTCGATCTGAAGATCTGCCCACACTTAGCTTACTATTTAGATGCTACAAAAAATGTTACCTCGTTTTATTTTCGACTACCTTATTCTAATAAAGTTCACCATGATTTTCACAGTATTTCATAAACTATTACTTTTCAATATATCTATTCATACAAATATCCATTTACTACGTGCTAACATTTTTTTGATTAACACTTATATATGAAAGTGGTGCTTTCAATAATTGCATCGTAAAAGAATTCACTTTTAATTACCGAAAAAAAAAAACGTTTTACTTTTATCTACTTTCTTTCTGTAGATATAATCTTTAACTATAAATAACTAACTAATGAATTGCCTATAAAAATTCCTAGCACATCACTATACGAATATATTTTATCGCCTTAATATTACTCTATAAAAATGGATTCTACTTATATTTTCAAAAAAGTCCACTCTTTATTACGGATAATCACACAGAAATTAAACTATATTTCAGGCAGCTAGAATGGTATTTTGATTACAGTATAATAAAGAATAAAATTCAATGAAGAAATGTTTTTTCTTCTCAATGATTAAATTTATTAAAACTCTGTAGTCATGATGAATATTTGCAGTTCAATGTATGAATGTTGTTCAAGGTGAGTCGTTTTCTGAGGTAGGATTTTAGTCGACGAACGTTTCATTGTCATGCTAGACATCGTTAGCACAGCTTCACAAAGAAGTGAGGCAGTTGTTTCGGCATGTGTAACATGTTAATCTGACTCATTCTGGTGAATGCGTAGGCGCATGCCAAACCCGATTGGCTGACTTCTTGCACTAGTTTTGTCAGAAGGGTGTGCAACTACGTGATTGGTTTGTTTCCTTTGTTTAGTTACAATACGCTGAAGTCGCTTTGTGGTTATTTGATCGACCTTTTTCGAACAGATTTATGATGGTTGCCTTGTTCTGATTGGCTGACTTGTATATATTTGAGGGGTGGGGGCTTAAAGCTGATTCGTTGATTTGTTACGACTAATTGTGTGTTCTTTGTTACTACTAATTGGTTGGTCATTAATGAAGAGGGGAATTCTTTTGTATTGGTTGCTGAAGTACGAGAATTTAGCTAGTTTCACATGAGTTATCTTGATCTAATTGACTGATGATTCCCTTTTTGTTTGTGTCAAGGTTTTCTTTGCATTTGGATAGACTGATTCCTCCCCAAGTGACCAATCACACCGCGCTCAGGTAAAGTAACAGATCATGT